CTGTCCATTTGCAACCCAATTGCAAGGAAAGTGAAGAGCAGCCACTGATCTTTGAAGTCTAAAAGTTGGGGAAGGCTACGGCAGGCTTCCCATTTGCTTGTCTGCCCAGCATTACATGTGCTAAGTGTCGGAGCTCCTTGTTCAACAGCATCTCCCTGATGTACACATTACAGCGTGCAACTTATGCCTCCACTTTCATCTGTATCGGCAGCATTAAATATTATTATATCATTTACTCTCTCGAGCAAGGAGATGTTGTTTGGCAGCTTGTTCTATGAATTTTTCATAAAGATAAAAAGCAGCCTAATCTTGTGAGCTTTAACTCTCAGTACCCAGTAATGGCTTTGATTTAAAGCGTTTTGTCTTAATGATAGTTATATTGAAAATTTCCTGCTGCTTTCAAGCACACATGGCTATTATCATAAACACTGATGGTGCAAAGGCTGCCAAATTGCATGTGGTTGCTTATGGCAAGTGGGGGGGGGGGGAAGCAGAGGCAGACTAAGAGCTATGCCAGCAGGTTGTTGCCAGTGGGGTCTTCCTTTCCAAAAAGCATTACAACAATATGGGGTCTTCCTCTAGCTTGCTTTGTCCTCCAGCAGTGGCCCATGGGCTTCACATCCCTTTTTTGAGCAAATCACTTGCACAATCATGTGTGTGTGTGTGCATGTTTCCATGGGTTATAGGGAAAGGGAAACTACTAGAATATACAATAACAGAGCTGAAAGGGACCTTGAAGGCCTTATAGTCCAATCCTTTCGCCCAAGCACAAGTCCCTACAGCAGTGTTTCTCAACCTTGGCAACTTGAAGATGTCCGGACTTCAACTCCCAGAATTCCCCAGCCAGCATTCGCTGCCCTATAGTATAGTGTTGTGGCTCGGTAGGAGCCTTTGGAGCTGCTATCAGACTGACACAGAAACCTCCTGTGAGTGGTTTCAGGATGCTCACAGGAGAAGATAACAAGCAGCTGGGGCTCGTTAAGGATCTCCTCCTGTGGATAAAAGACTGGTGGTGCCACACCTTAGTGGCAGAAGTCAACGTTCTCCGGTTCGTGTGTAACCATTGAGAGAAGCCTTTAGCTAAGTGTCTGGATTCACGTAACTCTGTTTGGTATTTCGTTTGAGTGAAGACTTTTTGTGAGAGCCGTTTATCTATGTTTATTTTGGGCTTGCAGACAGCTTGAGCTGATAAAAACATTCCTTTGCAAGCTGTGTGTGGTTGTCGTTTCTGAACGAGCAAAGAGGGAGGGTCAGAACAGTATAGGATACCGCAGAAACGTCACACGCTCTTCAGTGCCACACTCTGGAAAAGCCGAACTTCTAGCGTCCATGCGCAGGCTGGCTTTCAGCAATGCCATGTGCGCAAAGGGATAGCGCTCTGGAAAAGCCAAACTTCTAGGTTCTAGTGCGCATGCGCACCCGATGATCAGCCGGCTGGCGTGCGTGTGCAGGCCGGTTTTCAGCACCGCTACGCGAACAAAGGGATCGCGGTCTGGAAAAGCCGAACTTCTGGGTTCTGGCACACATTTGCACCCGACAATCAGCTGCCCAGCATGCATGCGCAGGCCGGTTTTCAGCACTGCCTCACAAACGAAGGGATTGCGCTACGGAATAGCTGAACTTCTGGGTTCTGGCACACATTTGCACCCGACAATCAGCTGCCCAGCATGCATGCGCAGGCCGGTTTTCAGCACTGCCTCACAAACGAAGGGATTGCGCTACGGAATAGCTGAACTTCTGGGTTCTGGCACACATTTGCACCCGACAATCAGCTGCCCAGCATGCATGCGCAGGCCGGTTTTTGGCACTTCCCCACAGGCGAAGGACAGCTGATTGTTGTGTGCACCACCAACCCAGAAGACAGGCGAGACCGCGTGTGCTGAGTGACATGGCTTTGCGTGCCACTTTGGGGACACGTGCCATAGGTTTGCCATCACGGCCCTTACACTATTCTGAACAAATAGTTGTCCAGTCTCTTCTTGAAAACCTCCAGGGATGGAGCACCCACAACTTCTGAAGGCAAATCGTTCCACTGATTGTTCTCCCTGCCAAGAAGCTTCTCCTTAATTCTAGGTTGGGTCTCTTATTAATGATCTTCCACCTATTACTTCTCGTTCTGCCCTCAGGTGCAGAATTGGAGAATAGGTTGACCCCCGTCCTCTCTGGGACAGCCCCTTCAAGTGCTAAAAGGAGACTGAAGAGGAATGCAGACAGTGAAAAATACATATAGATAATGACTACTAACGAAATGGTTAATCTGTTGGGCAGACACAGGGGACGATTTCAGGTTGTGTCCATGCAACCTCTGTAAGACGTTTGTTAGGCTTGTGCCGAATTAAGATTGGAACCCCCACTTTTTAAGTGTCCCCTGGAAGTCCCTAGAAGTAGGCTACGGATGTAAACAGTCCCCCAGTTGAGACCATTATTTTCATCCATCTGAGCATCCCATGTGGCTGCATGATCTTAAAAAAAGCAACCTACATAGAATTTTGAGGTCCCAACAGCTCATGTCATTGAAAAGAGAAATAGTTGAAATCCAGTCTGACAATTCTTTCAGGAACATGAGGCCAGGGCCAAAAGGTCCTGGCATGGAAATAAATTCTATACTAATTAATTCTGCCTCAAATGTACTTAGGGGAGATGGGAATTATTTGTACATGTGTTTGAGATTTAAATAACTACTTGTGAGACTGTTTACACGTTATAATGCCAATACATCCTTTGATTACAGTACAATGTGGATTCAGAAAAAGAGAAGAGAAATGTTTCAGTAGTCCCATTAAATGAAAGCAGAAAAAAAAAGTACTATTCCAAAAGTTAAAGAATAGTCAAATTGTTCACCCCTCTTTCCCCCCCTGCCCGGCAAAAAAAAAAAAAAAAATCTGTTATGTGTTTTTCCCCATTCTGATCTTTCCTGGATTGTCATTTGATTATTATTATTTTTTACTTTGACTATGGCATCACATGACTGCTAAAACTATATAAAACAACACATACATCAGAACATAGATGGCATTTGACAAACATATCTAATGAGGGGCTCCATCCTCCCCTTCCTCAAGGTCAGGACTTTTAATTCCTTCCAGAAAGCTATGAAGAGGACCTTATTCCAGAGGATGGATATCAGACTTGACCAGACTGTGAAATCAATTCCCCAGGAAGGCTAAAACAACATTTAGTGAGATTAGCTATCATAGCAGAATGTTACAAGTCTGATTATATTGAGCCTTCTCCTCGGTTATTAGAAATAACTAATATTTCTAATAGGGAATAGGGGAAGCCCTGTCCAAGCAGCTTCCTAACATTTTATGGACTTAAAATGCTTTTCATTTTTAATTTTCATCAAGGGCATTTTCTCTTGTCTCTACACTTGGCACCACAATGAAGAAGGCACATTTCCTCTGTCCCCAAAGTTGAAATTGTTCGATCGAGAGGGGACTCAGAACTTACCTACTTCGTTGGCTCTTAAAACTGGGGGGAGCTCGTCCCTCAGATAATCTGGCCCTATGTCCCGAAGGACTTTATAAATGATGGCCAACACTTTGAATAATATTGGCAATACCTGATCTTCTTCAACCAACAATATCCTCACCCAGTGGTTACATAGAGATATTAAAGGAAGCCAGAGGTGGTATTTTGCCGAACCGGTAAATCACAGGTGGCCCCGCCCCAGTTCTATGGCATCCCATTTAAGCACTTTTTTTAGCCAAAGCACATGCGCGGAAGGCTGCGTGCATGCGCGAACCCACCCACATTTACATTTGCGAACCAGTAGGGAAGGTAAGTGAATACCATCCCTGCAGGAAGTTCTTCAGCTGCTAGAGAATCCTTTGCTGATTGCAAGAGCCGTGTGTACATTTTCCATCCAAAGGTTAGAGACTCTGCTGGTCTTGTGCACCACAAATTTGCTTAAACTCAAGGAATAAACAAGTAACCTGTTTTGTTAAAATCTATGCACAAGTATGTTTCACAAACCTATTTGAGAAGTGTTCTTCAAAAATTAAGATGCTCCCATATTAAGATGCACCATTTTGAGTTTAAGCTAAATTAAATATCCAAAACCTGACTGAATTGTAGCATTTATTATTTGGGGGCCAGAATGCATTTTCTCTCTTTTGCTAAAATAAAAGAGGAGCTCAGCTTCATCTGTGATTTTTGTTCTTGGTGTATTTATTTTCTCAAAAATTCTCAATCTTGAGATTATATGCTGTTTCAGAGAATTCGTCTTTCTCTTTTTTTACTCCAACTCAAATCAGTTGATTGTGAGGCTCACCTTAAACTGACAAGTCTTACTAAAGCAACCATCATTACTGTTCTAAGTCGGACTTGAGAAGGAGAACTTCACCTCTTGTGGCTTGTGAGATAGTATAGTACACTAACTGCAGTGTCTAAATGATATAGTATTAAAAGAGAATGTCTTGGATAATCCAGAACTTCAGGACTATTGAGGTAAGATAAATCAGGATAAAGTCATATTTACTATTTGTGGTTAAGAAAGTTTGTGCTCACATACCTTGGCGTTTGATATGGATATTATGGATGTCTAAATGTGCATAACTCATATGAACTGACATTTGGAAAAATGGGAGTTGGAGATTTTCTGTAGGCAAGGGATAAGGAAATTCTCACTTGAAAATTAGCTCTAATTAGTTTTTTCCCTTCAGTTCTCCCCTGCAATGTATTCCATATTGTTTTAATCAGTAGGGCCAATATCTCATTCTCCTGCATCATTTTTCCTGCTCTGGAAAAAAGGCTTTCAGTAAATCAGGCGGTGAGTTTTCTTGTTTTATACCCAGTCGTGTTTTTGTACCAACCGAAGTTGAGTAAAACAGCAAGGATATTGGGGGGCATGTATGAACCATTCTGTTTTCAAAACTCTACTTTTTAAAATATTTGCCTTGTGTTTCGATGATTATAACTGTAAAAAAAAAAGTACGTTTTTAATATTGAAAATTAGCACCAATCTCGTATCTGCAATGATAGAGTCACTGTATCTCCAGGGATCCCCGATTATGGTTTCTATTCTCCGCCCGGTGACCAACGGGCTCCATTATCGTATGCGGACTATGATTCCATGGGGCCTCGGGTGGCTCAGATGCTTCGTAGCGAGCACCCTGCTTCAGCGAGTAACTCCCCCCTCCACCACCTTCCCAGCCCGGATCAGTTTAAAAGCCCAGGTTTGTATGGAATTTCATTCCTTTGGGGAAGCAAACAATGCAATACAATTATGGTAACGGCATCTCTTTATTTTTTGGCACACAGAAGAAAGTTTGCATGGCTACCAAAGTTCATTCTTATGTCTGTCTGTTAGTTTCAGAATTTGGGTTAGCTTTCCTTAAATTCTGAATAGTGACATTTCTTTCAACAGTTGGTCCAAATGCGATGAACATCTGGATAGGGGCATAATGCTTGACAGGGAAAATGGTTGGCAAGATGAAGAGGGCCATTGCATGAGTGCATTTTATGTGGAGAGGGTTTCCATTGTCATGCCCTTAGATAAGACATGTGGCCTTCCTCCATGGAATTGGATCTGTAGTCTTTGGAAGAGTCAAATGGAAAATGCAAGAGGCCTTGACTTTTTTCAAGATCTGTTTTTGATCCCAGTAAAGTTGCTGCATTTTTTTAAAACTTCATTAAGATATTCCATTGATTGTACTGGTATTTGATCTAACAGATTAGCTTCCTTCGGATTGCCTATAAAGAAATGAGGAATATAAATAGAATGTGTGTGTGTGTGCGTGCTTAATGAGATCAAGCAACATCAAAAGAATAATGAGGAAAGTACTGCAGAACTCTTACTACTGGTCGGATATTAAATCAAGGACAAGAATGAAAGTTGTTTTAAGTTTAGTTAGCTTTCGTCCTGAGAATTTTTTACTTTCTTTCCATATTAGGTTTTGAAATGTGTCCAATTACATCGCTTACAGTGTCACCCAGAAAGATCCTCCATTGCCTTCATTTGTCTGTGGGACTTTTTTCCTTTACTCATTCCAGTTTATCTTTGGTGCACAGAAGTCACCAAAATAAGCTGCTTCCATCATCTAACCACAGTGTGTTCCTTTTTCCAAAGAAAAAAAGGAAATAAGAATATTTCAAACTAAATTGTTTGAAATAACCATCGTTTAAATTAACCACGGTCCCATGTTTGGACAAATGATAAGGAATATCTATTTGAAAAAAAGAAATGGATGAATATGAATATAAACTTTGAGTGACAGGAGAGAGGAGGGGAAAATGGCAGATATTTAAGGTTTATGTCATAAAAGTAAAGGTCCAGATATCATTTTGTCCAGTGCAGGAATATTCAGTATAGCATTCCTGACAGATGGCCATTCAGCCTCTGTTTACAGCCTCTGTGGCAAAAAAGAGTCTCCACTATTTCCTAAAAGCAATCTGTTTTATTGTTGAACAAGCTCTGTTAGGAAGATTGATCTCCAACTGAAATCTACTTTCTTGCCATTTACATCCATGGTTTCCTGTCCTGCCTTTTGGAACAATTCTGAACAAATTAGATCATTTTGCCCCATGTTCAGCATGACAGTCCTTTTCCAGAAGAGCAACACTTGACCCACAAATTGCACACTCGAGTTAACTGTGAGCTAAAAAAATTCCACTCTGCAGCAGCCCTGCCATCCAGTTCATTTGGAATGCTGAGCAGTGCTATCCAGATTTATGCAACTGTCCCTGCAATTGAGCGCCTGGGCTGACACCGAGAGAGGAATTTTTATTCCCATATTGCAAGCTGGGTTGACAAACTATTATTCAACAATCTGTTCATTCTATTTCCTTTGCTGATTGGTAAACTATGATGCTAGAGATCAGCCTTGAACGAGCCCTGAAAAGTAACTCGGGGGCTATGTAGCTGGCTGGTGTTTGGGGTAAACTGCCCTCTGAGATTTCTTTCCAAGTTAAATCAAAACACATAATTGCGTACAAAATTCATTGGCGTACGCAAGTTCCATGCAGATTAAAATCCCATATTCAAATGCTAAGTAGCTAGGATTTTACACTTGGAAGAGGACTCAAATGAGAACAGGCACTCTTGTATTTTGATGCCAACTCCATTACCCATCAGTTCCGGTTGTACGTATTCCGTTGCATGGCCTAATTGCCTCCTGCTAGGCTTCAAATATTCATTCAGAATGAACCACTTAGAGGAGATCATTTTGACTCTGCACAACATGCTAAAACCAACATAAGGGCACACTTTAAAAAAAAAATCTCTTCTGTTAACATCCTATGAACGTTCTTACCAAGCAGATTGCCTCATAGACTTATACACCAATGGTTGGATATAAAAGTGTTGGGAGGGGTGGGAGAACCACTTTGAAGTTGGAAACTTCAGCCTTTCCCCGCTTACTTTCTGAAGTCACAGAGTAATGATCCATGTAGTCAGGCAGATGGCCTAATGGATCCATAGCTGGAAATCCCTCCTTAGATTGCTGAAAAGAAATTTATCTTTCAGTGGTGACCTTTTATGGCCCGTCATTGGATTTATTTGGAGGTTAAGTTAACATCCAAGGTCATCCCCAAAGGTGTCCTTTCAAAAAGCAACTGGGCTCTCTTGTTTTTTCCCCTTTGAAAACATTTTGCTTCCCATCCAGGAAGCTTCTTCACTTCAGAAGTCTTCCAAGGTCCCTTCGAACTCTGTTATTCTGTTTTTCTTGGATGAGAAGTCCTAGTTCATCCTTGTGGATTAGGATTAAAACTGCAGCAGGTCATTGGGATGCCCAAGGGGGCTTTGAACAGGTCCATGACATGGTAGAGTAGAGTAGAATAGTATAGAATAGAATAGAATAGAATTCTTTATTGGCCAAGAGTGAGTGGACACACAAGGAATTTGTCTTTGGTGCATATGCTCTCAGTGTACATAAGGGAATAAAATACATTCATCAAGAATAAAAGATATAACACTTAGTGATAGTCAAGGTTACTAACAAGCTATCAAATCATACTAGGAAACAAATAAAAACAATATAAATTGAAAGGTACAAGCAACATAGTTATATAACATAGTTATAGTGAGTAGAAATTCAGAAAGCTTAATTTAGTTCAAAATCACTTTAATTGCATTCCTTTGTATAATGATTGGATAGAGTTCCTCCTGCAAGCTTATAATTCTGCCTGAAGAAACCACATGTAACCCACTTGACCCACAAATTGCACACAAAATGCCTATTCCAAAGTATTCTCAAATTTCCCCATACATTTACACTCTATGGAAAGCCACGTTTGAAGCTGAGAGAACTCTGGGAATCTCAAGAGGTAAATGCATCAAATTGGAAAGATCTAAAGAACTTGTTTGGGGCTAGTTTACCATATCACTTTCCAATACTATTTTCAAAATATTGCCAATGAAGCCTGTTAAATTGAGTTGCAAAAAAAAAAAAAAACCGTTGCTGCTCAATTTTATCTTCAGAATTTCCCTCCTAACATAGTTTTATCAACAAGACTCACTCCGGCAATGACAGAAATAATATTCAAAAGCTCTAGGTAGATAATCAGAATGTCTGGGAGGGAGAAAGTATGAACTTGGAAAGTGTATATGAAAATAATTGTATTCCTAATGAGATTTGGAAATTGTACCCAGATGATGGCATTGCAAAAAAAAAGAAAGAAAGAAACATAGAAGGTCACACGACGAACGATGGATATCAAATCTAGCTGGGGTGGGAAGCAGAGAGAATTTAAATTAGGTGTCATGTTCCATAACAAGAGGCTTGTACAATCACTTGTCCTTTGCCCCATTTGTCAAATATGAAATGTATACTAAATTAAAAATGCTTAATTTCCAACAGCACATGATACCTTTGGTGGGGGGGTGAACTCCACGAGCCCTCAAGGTTTCCATAATGATTTTTCTGTAGCCAAGCAACAAAAGAAACATAGCTTCTGAAGACAATAAGTTCTCTAGCTCTCTCCATTTTTTTTGCCCTCAAGATCTTGGACCACCATAGTGCCAAACCAATACATTTGAGGAGGTGTTACTTTTGAGAAGGTTGTTCCATCTATGTCCAAATCTTTTGATTCCTTATTTGAAATGGGGATATTTTTTCCCCCACAATGTGGCAAACCATTATGTTTCCTAAAGGGGAAGATTAAAAAAGAAAAAACCCTGACTTTCATACTTTATTAGATCCCCACTGGAGACTCATTTTGGAGCTGCAAGTTTGGCTTTGACAGGAAGGTTAGATCCACTGTCCAATAAACCTAAAGATTATAGTGGCTTTTAGCATTTTCTTCCTCCTCCCTCTGCAATCATCAACCTCTCTGACCCCAATTTATGAAGAGCCCAAAATAGTAATTCATCATTTTTTGTTTGTGGATTTCTATTTTTACTTGTTTCAAAAGTATTGCTTTGCCCTACACTTCATAAAACTTCATGATGATCAAATGGAATTGGCTTATATCTAGGGTTTTCTGGTGGCGGATATTATGTTTTCATCTCCAGCTGATTGGTGAGGAGATTCAGCGCAGCTGCCGGATTGCACAGGATGGCAGGCAGCTTGGAAGAAAAGATCACAAAGGTTGCCTGGTAGAAAAAAAAAACACCTCATTTCTGGACTTAAAAGCGACACAGTTAAGGAGACTGTGCAAATGTGATCAGAACCCGAGTATACAACTTACCCTATTTTTTCGGAGTATAAGACGCACCTTTTTCCCTCAAAAAAGAGGGTGAAAATCTGGATGCATCTTATACGCTGAATACAGCATTTTTGGCCTCCCGAAACCCCGCCCGTTCACCAAAATGGCCGTGCATACCCTTTAGGAGGCTTTCAGAGTGCTCCTGGGGGCTGGGGAGGGCAGAAATTACAGAAAAACGGGCTGTTTTTTGCTCGTATTCCCCCCCTCCCAGCCTCCAAGAGCACTCTATAAGCCTCCTAAAGGCTATGCATGCCCTTTTTTGACAAAAAATGGGCCTGTTTTTGCAAAAAAACTGGCTGTTTTTGCTCATTTTGGGGGGGCCCTACCCCCCCAGGAGCACTCTACAAGCCTCCTAAAGGTTATGCATGCCCTTTTTTGGGGGGGGGGGAAATGAGCCGTTTTGGGGAGGTCTGCAGATTGCAAAAACTTTTTTTAAAAATTTGCCCCTTCAAAATCTTGGTGTGTCTTATACTCTAGTGCGTCTGATACTCCAAAAAATATGGTAATTTCTTTTTAGGTTTCCACTGACATTGTTTGTTCTTTTAGATGTGTCGTAAGATTAGAAGCAAAATGAAAGAGAA